TCAAAAAATTAAAAAGAGAACTACAATATGATCCAGTAATCCTACTAGTGGGTATTTACCTAAAAACAAAACAAAACAAAACACCAATTTGGAAAGATATATGCACCCCTATGTTTATTGGAGCATTTATAATAACCAAGATATGTTAGCAACCCAAGTATCCATTGATAGATGGATGAATAAAGAAGATGTGGTAGATAGATACATAGATAGATATGAATATATATATATGAATATTAGTCATAAAAAAGAATGAAATCTTGCCACTTGCAACAACACGGATGTACATGAAGAGTATTATGTCAAGTGAAATAAGTCAAAGACATATGATTTCACTTACATGTGGAATCCAAAAAAACTAAACAAACAAAAAAAAGCAGAAATACACTCATAAATACAGAGAACAAACTGGTGGTTGCCAGAGGGGAGGGAGGTGGGGGTTCAGGTGAAATAGGTGAAGGGGATTAAGCAGTAGAAACTCCCAGTAATAAAATAAATAAGTCATGGAGGTGAAAGGTACAGCAAAGAGAGTAGTCAATAATATTGTAATAATGTTTTTAAAAACCTACATAGAAAATGTAATGTTTATAGAAGCAATCTCAAGTTTTTCATTTAATTTTTGAGAAGACTATTCAGAAGCTCATACAAATTCAATATTTAATATCATCCTTAATATGTTTATTTTTTTCTCATTAAATTATATAAAAAGTTTTTTTCACCAAGCCCCATATAGTTGCCCCCAAATCCCCTTTAGTTTATCCCAGTGTGCTATACAAATATCATTTCTATGGATGTCATGATATGAAAAAGAGTTGAAAAGCACTGCTTTAGCCCCAGATCAGGATTCTTTTTTTTTTTTTTGACATTTTATTTTTTTAAAACATTTTAAAAATTTAAATTCAATTAATTAACATATAATGTATTACTGGTTTCAGAGGTACAGGTCTGTGATTCATCACTCTTATATAATACCCAGTGCTCATTACATCACATGCCTGCCTTAAAGTCCATCACCTAGTTACCCCATTCCTCCACCCCTCTCCCCTTCAGCAAGCTTTAGTTTGTTTCCTATGATTAAAAGTATCTTATGGGGGGTGCCTGGGTGGCTCAGTCGTTAAGCGTCTGCCTTCGGCTCAGGTCAGGATCCCAGGGTCCTGGGATCGAGCCCCAAATCGGGCTCCCTGCTCTGCAGGGACCCTGCTTCTCCCTCTCCCACTCCCCCTGCTTGTGTTCCCTCTCTCGCTGTGTCTCTCTCTGTCAAATAAATAAATAAAATCTTTAAAAAAAAAAAAAAGTATCTTATGGTTTGTCTCCCTCTCTGGTTTCGTCTTGTTTTATTTTTTCCTTTCTTCCCCTATGATTATCTATTTTGTTTCTTAAATTCCACGTATCAGTGAGATCATATGATAATTGTCTTTCTCTGATTGACTTATTTCACTTAGCATAATACCCTCTAGTTCCATCCATGTCATTGCAAACTTAACCTGAGGACTCTCAATGGATTTCAGTGAGTGTGTGAAATGTTCAAGTATATCTTTCTGGAGAGTTAATAGTTTTCATCAAGTTCTCAAAGCTTAAGAACCAACTGATCTCAAGAATTTCAAAAGTTCTGGGGCGCCTGGGTGGCTCAGTCGTTAAGCATCTGCCTTCGGCTCGGGTCATGATCCCAGGGTCCTGGGATGGAGCCCCTCGTCGGGCTCCCTGCTCAGCGGGAAGCCTGCTTCTCCCTCTCCCACTCCCCCTGCTCGTGTTCCCTCTCTCACTGTGTCTCTCTCTGTCAAATAAATGAATAAAATCTTTAAAAAAAAAAAAAAAGAAAAGAATTTCAAAAGCTCTCCTATAATTTCACCCCTGAAGAAGTGATGATACAAGTTAAGGGTTAAAGGAATTCCAGTGGCACAAGTAGGCCTCCATTATAACAGGTGGGAAGAACAGGTGTTACAAATAGAAGTAGGAGGACTTCTGTCTCTGGCTGCCTCTTTTGGGAATCCTGCTCTTGGTCTCTCTTCTCAAATTCAACTAACATACTAAGAGGATCTAGGGTCTTTTCTCTAATAAAAGTAGATACTTCCTCCCTCAGATCACCAGAAGACCAAGTAGGAACCAAGGTGGAGCCCAGGGAAGAATAGGTATAAATGGAGCAGAGAGCACAGATTTCAAATGCTCACATGTGATCTAGCTCTGCAACCAAAGCTTGAAAGCCAGTATCATAAACTGCATTTTCCCAGACCTCTTCCTCTGTTTCTAAAGCACTTTGTACATATCTAGGCTTCTCCTGTATACGTATCCCCCTTGGAGGCCTAGCAAAGGTGACTGAAACCACAGTACCACTAAGCCATTATGTCATTATTTGGTGTGTTTTTCCCTGCTAATAGGCTTTGAGCCCCTGAAAGACAGACTTTTATTTCTTAAAACAGTGTGTAGCATATAATACATACTCAATATTTTCTCAATTAATGGTGATTAATGAACATGCACCAGTAATTTCCAAATCTTAGTTTCCTTAAAAGGTTATATACTAGGAAGAGCTATTTCCTCTGTAAATTAATAAATTAACTTCCTGATACAAATAAACTTAATGTGAATCTGGGTATTCTGTAATTCCAATTTTTTTTAAAGATTTTACTTATTTATTTGAAAGGGAGAGAGTGAGTGAGAGAGAGCACATGAGCAGGGGTAGGGGGAAAAGCAGACTCCCCTGCTGAGCAGGGAGCCCAACATGGGGCTCGATTCTAGGACCCTGGGATCATGACCTGAGCCGAAGGCAGTCTCCTAACCGATGGAGCCACTCAGGCACCCCTAATTCCAATTTTTTTTTATAATCCTAATTTTGACCAGGATTTTATCACCTCAGATATGTTTAACAAAGATCTTCTATATCTGCCTGCAAATGAGACATATCTTCACCACTAATCTACTTCTCTTACTATTAAGAAAAGGCATTAATCATGTCTTTTTAAGTCCTTTTTATTCCCTTTTTGCTTGATGCTATTTTCTACACATAGGGTACACTCAGAAAAAGCTGACTGAACAAACTTTAGAGAATAATAAAGTTATCTTAACTACATACAGGGCTTTATAGTTTATACTGTACTTTAGCATGCATTATCTCATTTGATCACAGGAATCCTGTGAGTTAGCAATCCATTGTAGAAACTAATGCTCAAAAAGTTTAAGCCATTTGCCTAAGGTTTCACAGAGTTGGAGCTAGGAGCCAGGTCTTCTGACTCCTATGGTAGTGATCTTTCCCAATGTAAGATTAATGGAATTAAGTCATCTGCCAAAAGAATTTCTTAATATTATGTTACTACACAAAACTAGATAATCAGTGTTGCTATCCCTGAGTCACTAAGAAAAATAACATTACATTACAAGCACATTATTAAGACCTATTGATTTGAATAATACTTTTTCTAGAATGATACTTTGATTTCTAAACCACATGTTTCATTTATCTGAGTTCATTCAGCTTTCAGCTATGTATGTTTCTTAGCTATGCATATAACTTCCTGTTTGGTCTTCTAAGCATTGGTTCAAAGTTCTTATTTCTGAACTTTGTCTTTTCTTTTCCTGTTTACTACGCAGCTCTGGGGAAAAAAAAACACAGATTGTTTAATCAGTGAACCATACATCTTTGTTTAATTTTGTCTCGCAGGCACTCTTGACCACCACCAGGGGGCAAAAGCCTACCAGCTGGCTTCTCTGCAATTCATTCTACACAGGACTGTACAGTACAGGGACCCTCAGTGTCTGATTCTTGATGGAACCTCCCTGCTAATTATTTCAACCGCAGGGCCCCAGGGAGAGAACAAAGGCTCAGCACAGAGGGCTCTAGTGGCACTTAACCATACAGCAGCCAGAAAGAGCTCATGACAGCCCTATCAGTTTAAAGAAAGCAATGAGATCCAAAGAGTTTGAGTGACAACAGGAGCAGGAGGCTTTAATAACTGCAAACTCCTTAATGTGTGTGTTTTCTACAGCTTTGATATGTATGGTGGTATATTCCAGAGCATGCACTCAAGTTTGAGAAATAGCTTTGTCAACTCTTCCTCTGTGTAAATAATCAATGGTATTTGCATAGTGAGATTTCCCCCCTCTTTTAATCTTGATTTTTCATTACTTCCTTGAAGTCTGCTGACGGTTTATCTTTTAGAAAAGTATTCCTTTAAAATATTTAATAATCTACATTTCACGTAGGTCTATGCAATCATGAAATCTAGAGCCGAAGGAGTAAAAAATCTCAAGGAGCAAATCCTATTTAAGAGAATTTCTTCCAGCAGGAAGCAAGTGGGAGGTAAATATAGCAGGTTGGACCCTTATAATTCCGTGAGCCCAGCCTTCTCGGCCTCCCGGGCTCATGCAGCCTCTCTCCACCTTAGGAATAATGAATGAGTCCTCAGACAGGGGCCAGGGTAATAGAGGAAGCGTGAGGGGTACCCTGAAGCTTGCCAGGGTATAAAATTAAAAACCTTTCTTTCTTTCATAAAGTCTCATCATAAAACATGGGCTCTGAGACAGAAGGTGGTAAAGCTCAGAAAAAGCTCCCAAGAGCCGGGTCAAAAGGAGATAAACTCGTCTCTGGTCGCGCCAAGAGGGTCTCCAGTCCAGTAAGTCTCACTCCCACCTAGAGAATGGCTTTGAAACCCGGCGGAGCCCTTTCCCACCAGACAACGCGTTTGCCTCAGGATTTTCACCTCACTTTCCTTTCACTAAGATCGCTTAAGCTGTGCGCCCCCACCTCATAAAATGGTCGTCTCTCAGGACTGGGGATTCCAGCGGCCCCCCGGCCCGACGCCCCTCCCCCCATCCCAGCTCACTGCCTCTAGACTCGGGCAAACCGCGCGATTCCAAAGCAAAGGAGGAAACCCGGGACCGGGCGGCGGCCGGAGACGCAAACACCCAGGCGGCTTCCGGCAACTCAAGGGTTACGCCGAGGCGGCGGCGCGCGCCGAGGGGAGAGGCGGTTGCTGACAGGTGGCGCCTGCGCACTGGGAGCGCTCATTGTGCCCCGCTGCTGCCGAACCGCCCGCCCGCCCGCCGCCCGTTCGGCGCGTCAGTAGGCGAGAGTCCGGTGGTGGGTGCGGAGCCTGTGGCCGTTCCCGCGGCCTCCTCCTCCTCCCCTCACCCCTCACCCCCATCCCATACCCCCTTCCCCATCCCGGCTCCGTCACCCTCCCGCCCCCCCACATTCAGGACAAGAATGCCCTGCCCGGAACAACCTAGCAGCGCCTAGATGGCTTTGGTCACGGTCCAGCGGTCGCCTACCCCCAGCACCACCTCCAGCCCCTGCGCCTCGGTGAGTCCCACCCGGCGGCAGCTCCGCTCGCTTCTGTCACTGCGGCTCCGCTTTGCCTCAGCGGGTCCCGCCGAGCGCCACTGCGCACGCGCCGCGCCGCTTCCCAGGCCTTGGCACTCGGCTGCCGCGAAACCCCCCCACACCCCATCTTAAAGACGAGCTACGGGAACTACGGGACGTTGGGGTTTGCCCCCATCACTGTGGGCACCTGGCTCTCACAGTCCTCGCCCTGAACCGCCCCCCCCCCCAGTAGCATGCTTTCCTATGGCTTGAACACTTCCTTTCGGGAATGAGTCATTCTTGCTTTTCACCCTCCCCCTTCCTTGTACCCTCTGTTGCTCTGCTGCAGGGAGAGGACCATGGGACTGCTGCGTTGCCCCTTACACACACCACAGCCCCTTACCCACACCCATTTCTTGGACCCGTTCGGTATTCGCACACTGCAGCCCCTTCTTCAGGCTCTCCGGGTTGTGTGCCTTCCCCCTAGTCACTTGCCGTCTTTCTTGTGCTCTGGTACTGTTCGGGCTTCATTGGACTGCTGAGCTGGTAGTTACTCCTTGGTTTCTTCCCTCTTTCCCTCCCGCAGAGGGTGGCCGTGGTCTCTGCTTCTTGGACCTCTTACCTTTTCTCTAAGAGGTCCTGAAGCATCTGGCGCTGCTTGATGAGCAGTGCCAATTCATTTACATCTTACAGACATTAATGCCTTAACACTCATTGCTCATGATCGTTCTTGTTCTTGGGTCGTGTTTGTATGGTTCCTTACTTCAGATACGCCAGTGAAGCCTGCTTCCAGAAGGAAAATACCCAGTAACCAGCCTTTTCCTGCTCGGCAATTCTTTGACTTCCCTGCGAGCCCCACCCCCACTCCTTTACACCCCATTCTTTTAGGCTTTATTCTTGAAAATATTTATTTAAAAACATAAAATACTAAAAATAAATACATAAAGTATTGCACCAGTGGGGCGAAGTGGGATCTTTCAAAAACATGCAGATGTTTTAGAAGGAAATAGAATGAAAATATGAGCAATTGGAAAAACCGTCTTGAGCTTCCTACAGAATTGTAATTTTTAAAACTGTGTTGGTGGATTTAGTAGTTTCAAGTTGCCAAAAGGTATTCAGTAAACACTGTACCACCTTCCACTGTAAAACGTTAGGTTATTTTTAATATTTGTATGTTCACTGAGGCGTGGGCTCTGATATCTTGAAACTATGGTGGGTTGTGATTTCAACATAGTTTCCTGAATTTCAAAATTTTGTTGTGTATAGTGGTGGTTTCTTCCTTTTTTTTTTTTTTCCTGAGCTTTCTTTTGTATTTTGTGTGACCAAATTGACAATTATATCCTAATTCTAGAATTGATTATATTTCGGAGGTTAACTTGTATTGTATTAGAGAGCAGAACTATGATCTTTGGGTAAAAGTTCAGGGAGGCAGATTTCCAATGATTGTAAGGAAGAATTTTGTAACAGTGAAGTGGACTGCCTTGCAAAAATAGTGAGTGTCCATTACTTAAAGTATTCAAAGAAAGTATTCAAAGAAAGGCCTTTTGCCTGGAAGTTAGTATAAATAATTCCTTCAGTGGGGGACTTCTAAGGCTCTTCCAACTCTTAATATTTTGTGATTTGAGAATAGTTGCACTTCAAAGCTGGTAAAACGTTTCAGGGTCCTCTGAAGACAAACCATCTTACTTCTCTCTACTAGTAGACCCTTTGAGGATAGTGGTCACCAGGCCTGTTTTTGGCTGGGAAAGCAACTGAAAGTTAGTAGAGTCATGCAGATACACTAGAAACCAGTGTTATGGTAACATCATTTTCCCTGGGTATTGTTAAAAATAGTTTATGCTATGATAATAACATACATATATCAAGTTATCATACTAAGTTTCTTGAGGCAAATGATTAGTATATAGTAAGGCCGTATCTACTTGATATGACTTAATTAGCCAAACCTTAGTTATTAGAATATTGAGGTATGTTAATAGCCACTTTTGAGATAGGTAATTAAATTGATCATGTGGTAAGCTCAGTTGTTGAGCTAACTGATTGATATTTCTACATCTACTTGCTGTAGTAGCCTGGTTATCTCAGCTGTTTATATGCGGCCCTGGGTGTAAAAGAATCCTGGGGCTGGTGTGTGTATGGGTGTGGGTGTGTGTGTTTGTATGACTGATGAGCCAGTTACCTTTCCCCTTAAATTGTCTTCCTATTTCACTTCATCCAGAGCTATGTTCAGCTGAGTTGTCTTGTGGTTCTTGTGTTCCAGTATTTGGCTGCTGTCTGACCTGCATGTATTTGCTGTTGTATCTCTTGTTGCATGAATAAGTTGAGTTGTTTTAAAGGTAAAAGAGAAAAAAAAAAAAATCTAGAGAATCATGAAATCTCTCGATTTAATTTTGTGAGACTGGAAATTTAGATTTTTTTAAATTAATGATTTTAAGCATTTTATTTTACTTTTTCACTGTAGGTGGTATAGGGCATTTCAATACTGTCAGCTCTTCAATATTCATTCACTGGGGATTAAATAAATCTATTGATCATCTACTGGGTATGAGTGATTATTACAGATAGTAAGATGTATAAGACATTGATCCCGTGTATTAGTATCATGTAATCTTGGGAGGGGATAGGAAGAAGAACACATGTGAGATGAGAGGGTAGAAAAAGAGAGTGAGGGAAATGATACTGAATGTACATGAACAGCTAGTTTGTAATGGCCGTTGTCTAAATTCAGATTAAGATAAATTCACTAATGGCAAGAGTAATAATAACAATATCTAACATTTTTTGGGTTTTCATCTATGCCAGGGATCATGCCAAGTGATGTACGTGGATTAACTCATTTACTCCTCACATTATGTCCAAAGGAAATTGCTATTATCCCTGTCTTACAGATGAAGAAACTGAGGCAAAGAACTATTAAGGAATGTGCCCAGTGTCACTCAGCTGTTGGAGATGTATTTAACTTTAGAATCTTCCATCTTTTCCTTTGTGGTAATCAAAGAGAAGTACATATAGTAGGTGGATTCAAACTCAGCCTTGAAGTATGGGTAAAATATTTATAGGCTGGGGTAGGGCCTGGGAAATAGTATTCCAGGTGGAGAGAAGTGGTATTACCAAAACTTACAGGCAGAAAAGCACAAGGTCTGTCTGAAGGACTTAACTAACTACACCAGTTTGAGGAAGGATTTCTTTGGAAGAGTAGTAAGAAATAAAGGTGAAGAGGAAGCTGGGACTGCACAGGGACTGCTGAGTTTAGGAGTTTGAACTTGATAGGGAAGGTAATGGAGAGTCTAAAGAGGTTTTTGAGCAGATAGGGTCACAGTGGTGTTTTAAGAAAATTGATCTGGCAGCTGTTGGCCAGAAGGATTTGAGAGAGGCAGAGGGAGGCCATGAGTGGAGCCAGTTAGAGGTTATTACGGTAGCCCAGGTGTGAGATAATAAAGGCCTAAACTGGGGATGTGAAGTGGTAATGGAAAGAAAGGGACAGATGTGAGGGATTATGGAGAAAACACAAAGGACCTGGGAACTGATTGGATATAGGGGAGGAGGAATCAGAGATGCCAACTTTGGAATGTATTGTTCTTCTAAGATAATAGATGTTTCCTAATTAATAGGCAATTTAAGAATTATCTCTTTCCTGCTTTCTGTTATGAATTTTCTGAGTGGATACCTATGTTGATCCATGGTCATATAAACACAGTGAAATACCATGAAAATATTTTACTTTTGTGTAGTGCTTTATACTTTTCAGAGTGTTTTTGTGTTTGTGATCTAATTTAACTCTATGGCAGCCTCCTAAGTTATGCAGGACATGTACCAAGGTTAAAAGACTTGCTGAAGGTTACAAAACTGGTTACTGTAAGAACCTGCACTAGAACCAAGTTCCTTGGCTCCTGGTCCACATCTCTTTCCATGATGTGAAACAGATACGAGTTTCTGAACCTGAGAACTTGACTGCCAATATAGTAAAGGAACCAAGACTTGAGATACATACAATCAAGAACTCATACTCTTTGCAGTTCATTTATATTGTAACTAGAACAAAATCATCTATGTGCAAATCATTTTTAGGTGATACCCTTATTTGAAGCCTATTATCTTTTAGTTTACACATAATTCTTAAAACTTGGATATTTAGTTTTTCTTACTCTAAGAAGATTATCAACAGCAAAATAGGAAGGAAAAGTGTGGCTGGTGCTGCTAAAGACCGGCTGCTTACAGTTCTGGGAAATGATAGCTGATGGTTTTATAGCAAGGGAGGAAGAAGAAGATTTATAAATAGCTGGCATAAGAAAAAATTTAGCAGTTATGGACTACTTAATGTAAGGACAAATCCCTCTCTAAGACCTGGTGGTCCCTCAGAACTACTATTATGTGGTCATAATGATGACCCTGAATAATCATAATAAGGCTTCATCTTGTTTTGTCTTCATTTAAGTGGTCAGGATTGAGTGAATTGTATTTTGAGATATATATCCATCAAAGTTTCACTGAAGTTTTGAAGTTTATGATGCACATTTTAATTAACTGGGGAAATTCATTTCCATATATGATGCTAGGTAAATAAGATATTATTGAATTATATGTATATTTTATATATATTCCAATATGACTACACCTTTCTCCCAGAGAAAATAAAACCATAGCAAATGTGAAATTGATTTGTCTGAAGTATAAATACTTAAAAGTGATGCTTTTTAATTTTTTGAAGATAGCTTTAGAAACTTTCTTACACTATAGAAATAATACATGGTCATTGTAGGAAATTTTGGAAAATACAGAAAAGCACAGAAAAGAGAATGAAAGATATGTCCTGCACAATTGTATATGTATTTTACATAGCTGAAATGCTGCTGTCTGTATAATTTTGTATATTTGGTTCTTTTAAAGTTTGATATATGTCATAGATATATATCTATGTGCCATATCACTTAAATGGCTACATTGGGCAGTTATAACTCACCCTAACCATTCCACTGTTGTTGAACATCTGGGTTTTTTCCAGCTTTTTTTTGTTGTTATTATAAATCACATTGCAGTGAACATCATTG